GAGTGACAGGGCTTCAGTCAAGGAACGCTGCAGCCACCAGCAGTGGGAAGAGGCAAGGCGCCATTCTCACCCCAGACCCCCGGGACGGGGCAGAGCCCCGGGTGTGGGCCCCAGTGCTGCTGATTTTGGACTCCTGCCTCCAGAACTGTGAGAGAAGAAAATAGTGTTTTAAGCTCACTCCGTTTGTGATCATTTTGTTATCGAAGCCACATGAAATCAAATACAAGAACTATCAAATCTCTTTAATGAACTTAATGCAAATCTCGTTAATGTTTAAGCCTGTGCCTATCTGACATTTTTGTTACTTCAGCCGAAGCAGCCTAGCTGATACACAGTCGTCCTCCTGCCCCTGGTCCCCGTCTTACAGCTCAGAGGCCAACTCCAGAGCAAGGCAAGCCACAGTTTGGAGCCAGCTCGTAGCCAGAGTGCCGACCCCTTTCTGGTCCTCAACTCTCCTGATGTTTAGCTGGGGAAAACAGGACTGGCCAGGATGGGACAGCATCAGATGGATCACAGACTCCAAGCAAAGGCATGAGAGTTTATTTACAGACAAGACACAGCAACCAGCACCCACATCGGCCTCTGGCTAGGGGAGGTGGTAGACAAGACCCCAGATATACATAAATATATATAGGTCCCGCACCACCCACACCAGGACGCTCCCCAGCCAGGTCCCTGCCTGGGGAAGGACCAAGAGTCAGGCAGGATTGAGCGTGCAGAATGGAGAGGGCCGCAGTCCCTGCCAGGTATCAGTGATCCCCTGTTATGGTCCCCATGTCGGAGGAAGAAACTGCCCTTGGCCTTGAAGTGTGGACACTGAGGAGCATGAGGACAGAGACCCTCTGGAGGCACCCCCCATTCCTGTGTCCATCCTGTGCCCTCAATGTCAAGGCCACAGAAGCGAAGTGCCAGCAGCAGCAGCTTGGGGAGCAGTGGAGACACCGCAGGCCCCTCCAGGACCATCCAGGAGCTGGGCATGGAGGTGGGGTCCCAGGCCATGGCTGCCCCTCACACAGGGGCCTCCCCCAGTTTGCTGGTGGCACTCGTGAATCGCTTATTCTCGCGGAGGTTTCGGAGGCGGGCGCTGAGGCTGCTGATCTCTTTCCAACATAGGCCTGGGGCACCCACCCCTTCTCACCATCTGCCAGGGCGGACCCCTTCCAGCAACCTAGGGAACACAAGGCCAAGAACAACTTCACAAAGGGGTACCAGAGCCGGGCCTGGAGGAAATACCTCAGCCCTGATGCAAGCTTTGTCTACACCCTTGGGGCCAAAGTGACATCATCTCAGCATCTCATTGCTCCAGGAAGGACCCTGTCTCTAGCTGTCTTGTAGATGAACTTCTGACCTGTTTATCCTGATATCCTCTAAAAGGGTCTTTCCCACTCTCCCCCATCGTTCTCAATCTTATATCTTTACAAGCAGGAAGTTCCTCCTCTTGTCTAACCTGATTCCCACATGCTGGTGGCAGATCAACACTTTGCATAACCCTTCCCTGTGATGTCTTAGCCGTCTAGCTGTCTCCTGCCCACCCAAGCCCCATCAGGGAGACTTTCCCAGGAGACGTCTCACCGTCACTGGTCCAGGTCCTCACTGCCAGGATGTCAGTCTTCTCCAAGGTCAGCTCATCTGGCTGCAGTGCCTTGTATGTCCTAACACACTGACCTGGGGACGATCTGACAGCCCAGGGGAGGGTCAGGGAGTCCCAAGGGCAGGCTGGGCAGGACGGGAGCACGGGTAGGGCAGGGAGAGGTGGCAGGAGGAAGTAAGTGGGCGGAAGGTGGCCACTGAGGCTTTTATTCCTCTGCCACTCCCATGCCACAGGCCTGTGTTCAAGACAGGGGTGCCCTCTGCCCGACCCTGACCTATCTCCTCTCCTACCCGAAACACAAGTGCGGGACGATATCCAGTCCCTCCCAGCTCCGGTGTCTGCCTCTATACCAGCGGCTTTCCCCTCTTCAGCTCAAGCCAACACCCTGGGGTGTTTTTTTTTGTTTTTGTTTTTGAGACGGAGTTTCACTCTTTTTTTTTTTGTTTCCCCCCTTTTTCATTTTTTAGCCCAAAGTTTTACCTGTTTGTTGTCAAAAACGAGTTTCACTCTTGTTGCCCAGGCCGGAGTACAATGGTGGATCTCCACTTACCGGCCACCTCTGCCTCCAGGTTCAAGGCGATTCTCCCGCCTCAGCCTCCCAAGTAGCTGGGATCACAGGCACTCCCCACCACACACCTGGCTAATGTTTGTATTTTAGTGGATGACCGGGTTCATCACATTTTGGCTGGGCTCGTCTCTAACTCTGATCTCAGGTGATCCGCCGCCTTGCCTTCCCAACGTGGTAAGATTACAGGCGTGTGAGCCACCGTGCCGAGCCAACACCTTGCTTTTGCCCTTCAGACCCAACGTCCAACTGCCCCCAGATACCGCACACAGGGAAACAGAAACTAATGGCCCCGCAATATGCCCCTAAACGTCGCTCTGGGTGCTACCCTTCGGACCATCCTTCCCAACTGGGATTCCAGCTGCATCACTCCCAATTTAAAGCCCTGCAGGGCTTCCCACTCCTCTTAGAATAAAATCCAAACTTCTCCCTAGGCCCCACAAGGCCCTTCACGTCTGACGTAGCCCCCTGCTAGCCTCTGCTTCTCCCCTCAACTTTCCCTCCCTACTCGCTCAAAAGCTCCAGCCACACCAGCCTCCCTGCTGTTCCTCACTCTACGCTCCCTCCTGCCCAGGGCCTTTGCACTGGCTGTTCCTTCTGCCAGATGCTCTTTCCCAGATCTTTTCATGACAACCTCTCCTCATCCTTCAGGGGTCAGACTTAATTCCAGGGATCTACCCTGACCACCTGGGAGTAGGGAGCTCAGCCCCAGCCCAGGTGGGACTCTTAGCTCAAGCCAGAGCGTTGGACCCCCTTCCTGGTCCTCAGCTCTTTCCATTAGACAAGGGTGGGCTGATAGCATCAAAAAGCCACAGACTTGGGGGCCAGACCTGGCTTGAATCCCAGTTCTGTCATTACTTGCTGTGTGAGCTAGGGCAATTTTCTTTACCTTCTTGAGTCAAGGTTTTCTCATATATGAAAAATGAAGCCAGGCGTGGTGGCTCATGCCTATAATCCAAGCATTTTGCGGGGGCCAAGGCGGGCAGATCACGAGGTCAGGAGATCAAGACCATCCTGGCTAACACAGTGAAACCCAATTTCTTTTTTTTTTTTGAGACGGAGTTTCGCTCTTGTTACCCAGGCTGGAGTGCAATGGCGCGATCTCGGCTCACCGCAACCCTCCGCCTCCTGGGTTCAGGCAATTCTCCTGCCTCAGCCTCCTGAGTAGCTGGGATTACAGGCACACCGCCACCATGCCCAGCTAATTTTTTTGTATTTTTAGTATGAGACGGGGTTTCAACATGTTGACCAGGATGGTCTCGATCTCTTGACCTCGTGATCCACCCGCCTCAGCCTCCCAAAGTGCTGGGATTACAGGCTTGAGCCACCGCGCCCGGCATGAAACCCAATTTCTACTAAAAATACTAAAAATTAGCTGGGCGTGGTGGTATGCACCTGTAGTCCCAGCTACTCGGGAGGCTGAGGCAGGAGAATTGAAAGCTCTGGAGCGGAGGTTGCAAGTGAGCTGAGATCGTGCCACTGCACTCCAGCCTGGCAACAAAAGAGAAATGAAGGAAGGAAGGAAGGGAGGGAGGGAGGGACAGTGAGTCTACCTAGTAGGGTGCCATGAGGATTAAATTAGAATAACCCAAATATAAAAAGGCCCTAGCCCTGGGCCTGGCCTATGGCAGATATTCAGTGGGACAAGTTCCTGTTCTTTCCCTTACTACCTAAAGCTCAGCCCTAACTCCTCTGCTCAAAAGCCTCCAATAAGGCCGGGTGCGGTGGCTCATGCCTTTCATGCCAGCACTTTAGGAGGTTGAGGCAGGTGAATCACTTGAGAGCCAGGAGTTCGGACTAGCCATGGTCAACATGGCAAGACCCCGTCTCTACTAAAAATACAAAATTAGCTGGGTGTGGTGGTGGGCGCCTGTAATCTCAGCTACTTGGGAGACTGAGGCAGCGGAATATTTGAACCCAGGAGGGGAGGTTGCAGTGCCCAGTGTCCGAGATCCCCCCCCTTCCGAGCCCTCGGCCCACTCTAGGGGCACTCGCACGTCATGTCTATACACACACATCTACATACATACACCACATATTACAAAACCAACACAACACACTAAAACCCCAAAGTTCTCTTCTCAGGGCGTGGCGGTTGCTAAGCCACTTGAGTATCTTTCTTTCCTGGTTTTCTTTCTACACGTCCCAACTCGTGAGGTAACGATCTTGGACGCACGATGTTGCAGTGTGGTCACAGCTCGGCGAGGAGATTGGCGGCAAGGAGGGCTTTTTGTTTGTAGAATCGTGCTCTTTCTTGGGGTACTTTTTGAAGCTGTTGGTGTGGTGTTGGTGTTGTATGTGTACTGAAGGGGTCATGTTCGTCTAAACTGTGCCAATGGGAAATAGTTGCTTTCTTGTTCTCCAGCACTTGCCATGTGTTCAGGGGCAAGTTAGAGTTAGCGCATGCAATGTTTATTGCTACTTGGCGGAGTGAGTATAGTCGGTTAAGATCATAGCAATTAGGCGCAAGTTTGGCTCTTGTCTACTTCTCTTGTGCTGCTCTCTTCTAAGTTCCTTCATACTTTCTATGCCATGTGTGTGACTTGCGACGAGCAATCTCGTAAGTCGCTCCTTTTCTTTTGCCTAGTCTTGTGCCCACCTCTCAATTATGCGCTGATGTTGGATTTCAAGACTATGCCATGTTCATGTTTCTTCTAGTAGGGGTCCTTCTATTTAGAGGAGTGATTGTGGTCTTGCTGTCTCTTCTTGTGCAAAGCCTGTGGCGTGGGTTAAGTGCTTTCGAGGGTGTGCCAAACGTCCTTTTGCCATGATGGTGTTGAGGAAATATGGGTAGTTGGGCGTGGGCGCAACGTAATCAAGAAGATAGCAAGAAAAGACAGCCGCAAATGGTCGCTTGTAATCCCAGCTGCTGCTAGGGAGGCTAAGGCATGACAATTGCTTAAATCCAGGAGGTGGAAGGTCGCAATGAGCCGAGATTGTGCCACTGCACTCCAGCCTGCAGTACAGAGTGAAACTGTGTAGGCCCGGCACGATGGTTCACACCTGTAATCCCAGCACTCTGGGAGGCTGAAGGAGAGGACTGCTTGAGCCCAGGAGTTTGAGGCCAGCCTGGGCCACATAGCAAGACTCTGCCTCTACAAAAAATAAAAATTAGCCAGGTGTGGTCATGCATACCTGGGGTCCCAACTACTCAAAAGGCTGAGGCAGGAGGATCGCTTGAGCTCAGGAGGTTGAGACTGCAGTGAGCCATGATTACGCTACTGCACTCCAGCCTGGCAACAGAGCAAGACTCTGTTTCAAAAAAAAAAAAAACAAACAAACCAAAAAAAACCTGCAGTAGCTCCTGAAGGCCACTCTAGGAAGGTTCTCTACGATCAGGTCACACCCTGGCTTACCAGCTTCACTTCACACCCAAGGAGAAATCTTTATTCCCACTGGGCAGATCCCTCTTCACCTGCCACCATGACCCTCACCACCCCCCACACCCTGGCTCCGCTGCCTCTTTTCCTGTTTGCAGCTGACGAAAAGACAGAGACAGACCCGGGCTCTGCTCTCAGCTCTGCTATTTACTGACTGAGTGAACTTACGCAAGTCCATTTATCTCTGAACCTCTCTTCTAACTTGTAAAACGGGGGTGAAATGGGAGGATAGGAGGCTTTGTGATCTCCAGAATGCTGCCTATGGATACAGAGTCTACCTGTGCTATGTAAGTCCCGCCCAGCCTTCGAGGTTCCTCGGAGCTACCTCTGACCGCCCCAGGCATTAATCTCTCTCCCCACAGCCCTGCCAGTAACACAGCACCAAGGATGGGACAGCGGAAGGGAGGGAGGGAGGGAGGGCTACGGTGCCACCCAGGGATGTAATCGGAGGGGTTCAGCTATTACCTTCCCCCTCACTGATGATCTCCCTGTCCTCCTGGGGGCTGGAGGGGCACAAGGCTGAGATCCATCGCTGCTTCTCACTTCTAGGGAAGGGGGAGGCTGAGCTGTCACAACACGAAAGGTGCAGTTGCCCAGGGCAGGGTGCTAAAACCAGGGCTAGGGGAGCTGGGCATGATGTCCAGGCCCAGGACCCAGGTCATGTCTGCCCTACCCCGGGGCCCACCCCACAGCCCTGTTCCCAAGCCTGTGCTCCACCCAGCTCTGAGCATAACAACAGGCCCAGAACCCCCTGATGCCAGCCCTGCCTCCATCCTGCCTAATGCCATGATCCGTAAGCCAGAGATAGCAGGATACAGAGGTTTACATTCGAGAGATGCCCAGAGGCTGAGGAGGAGGTGGCAGCCCCCCCAGCACCACCTGTGGGGCAGGCTCCCCTGCTCTGGCCTCCAGCCCTGCCCTCTGCCCCTGTGTCCGGCCCAAGTCAGGGAAGAGCTGGGCACTTGGGGACGATCAAGGCCAGGATGTCACAGGGGTGCCCGTCCTGGGGAGGGGCCTCCTGTCTCCCCACACCCAGGCCCACTCACTCCGTCCGAGCCCTCAGCAGGAACTGGTGCTTCGTGTGTTGCCCGTGGAGGAGCTGGAGAAGGAACACGTGGCCAGGGATGCCCTGCAGCTTCAGGCTCAGGTCCCGTACCTGCAGCTCAGCCATCTTGGCATGGACGAAAACGGCAAACTTCCCTAGCCTGGAGGACCGGGGGAGGGGAGGTCAGCCTGGCCTGGCCCCCCGGCTCCAGGCGTCCACCATCGGGACCAGGTGGGTTCTGACTGGAAGCAGGGAGAAGCGGGGGCCTGCCCCGCCAGCTTCTCACAGGGTCCTGCTTCTGGATAGGGTACTGTTCTCCTAGCAGCTGGCAAAGTCCCCACAAGGAACCGAGAGTTCCTTCCCTGCTGGCTTGCTGGTGGAGGCTGGAGGTAGTGGAAACCAGTCCCTGGGTCCCAAGCACACTTTCGACCTCTCTCTCTTTTTTGTTGTTTGTTTGGTTTTTTTTGTTGTTGTTTTAAGACAGCGTCTCGCTCTGTTGCCCAGGCTGGAGCGCAGTGGCATGATCTCGGCCCACGGCAACCTCTGCCTCCCGGGTTCAAGCGATTCACGACCACTCTCGAAACCTCTCTCCCAAGCGTCTGTTCCAAAGAGCCAGCCGGACAGCCCCCTGCAGAGTATCTGCCTCCCTCCCGGTATATAAGCCCCATGAATGCTGAACCTTGTCTCTCTGCCACTGTGGCTCAGTGTCTGACACTGCCTGGCCCACAATTTGGACTCAGTAAGTACTCGTAGGCCGGACGGGTGGAGGGTGTTCGATGGATGTCAACCTGTTCAACAAAACTCAGCATCAAATAAAAAACTCAGCTTCTCCCACTCCAAACCAGACCCCTTCACTGTTCTCCATTCCAGTGAAAGACGCCACCAGTTTGCCCGCGAGGAAACTTAGACGTCATGCTCACCTCTTAGCTTTCCGTCCCCCCGACACCCACCTCGCAGCTATGACCTGTCTTTCCCCCTTACCGTCCCTGCAATCCACGTATCCTGAAGCACCCTGCCACTTCTGGAGCATCTACACTCTCCTTGGCAACTGCAAGACCCTCCGGCCTCTCCCCTTCCAGTTCATCCTCCCAATTGGCCAGGAGCAAAAACGTCATCCTTCTGCTTAACTCTCCATGGTCCCTGCTGCCTCAGAAAAAATCCAGCCTCTCTACCATGACCTTCAACATCCCAACTTCCCTCTGCTGCCCTGTCTCCTTTACAAACGCAGCCACATTAGGCTTCATTCCCCAAACACACTCCGCTCTTCTACACTGCCATGACTCTGCTGTACTCTGCCACTCAAGCTACCTCTCTACCTGGAAAACTCCTACTCAACCTTCAAAACCTAGCTCAAAGGTCCCTTCCTCTATGAAGCTTTACTGATTCTCACCCCACACCAGGAACTACCACAATACACCCTTCCACGAAAACCCTGATGATGTGGTTATCAGGATGTATTTTCACTGGCCTGAAAGCTCCTGTGAGCAGAAAACAAGTCTCATTCATATTTTGTCCCTAGCACTGGCCTGCTACAGAACAGAGACTCAGTGACAATTTGCTAAATGAACAAACAAATAAGAATGAACTCTTCTTATAGCCTAACATGTCCATCTTTTTTTTAAAAAAAAAGAGATGGGGTCTCACTATGTTGCCCAGGCTAGTCTTGAACTCCTGGACTCAAGGTAGTCTTGAACTCCTTGGCCTCCCAAAGTGCTTGGATTACAGGTGTGAGCCACTGTGCCCAGCCCACATGTTCACCCTTTATCCCATTCACCTTATCCAGGAAGTCTTCTACCTCACCCCTCACTTATAATCATCACAGCTAATACTGAGCGAGTGTTTACTGTGAGCCAGACACAGTGCTGCCATCAGAAAGAGCTGGCCTCCCCCTGGCTCCCCTACCTACTAGCTCCATGATCTGGCAGTAACAGAGAAGCCTATTTCCCAGGGAGGTATTTGGAGGATTAAAGGGAATAATCCACATAGCATGCCTGGCACAGTGTGGGTACTGAGTAAATGTTGGCTGCCAGCATAGCTACGACTCAGGGCAAAGCTGGGACTCCTGGGCCACGCTCGTAGTCTCTGCTCTAACTGGCTGAAGCTCACAGCAGCTCCAAGTCCTCAGCACACAGTCTAGCCATTGATTCTCCCTTCTGGAACATGGACCAGTCCCACATCTCTGCCTTTACTTCAGGAGCCTCCACCAAAGCCCAGGATGCCCTGGCAGCACACCCTGGCAGAGGCAGGGGCTCCCAGGCCCAGTGGTAGGGAGAAAGAGAGCCTGGCTCCAGTTTACCTACCCACCCCCGACTGCCCTGACTCACTCCTTCCTCCGGGAGAGCAGCAAGCAGTCATTAAAGAGGTGTAAGTAGACGGCCTTGCTGGACAGCTTCAGCTTGGCAGGGGGTGCTGCAGGCAGTGGTGCCAGCTCGACCAGCTCCCCGTGCCGAACCAGCCAGCGGGCCTGAGAGATCAGCGGGAAAATCTAGAGGGATGGAGTAGAACGGGTCAGGCCCAGGGGCACCAGGCAGAGCGCACAGGAGGGCAGATGGGAGGGTGTGGGCAACAATGAACTGGCCTGAAGACCTCAGGGCAGGCAGGAAACAAGAGCTGCCCCTTGGGGTGCCCATCCCACTGGCTGCAGACACACACCTTGCCCTCAAAGTGGATCTTCTTGCTTAGGTGGATGAGTTCCTCTGTCCTCTTCATGGATTGCACGCTAGCATTGCACTCCTGCACCAGCTGTGGGGGGTTGTGGGGAGGTCACCTGTAGCCCCTCAGCCCTAGCTCCCAGAGCCCAGCCTCAGACTCTCGCCTGGGGACTGGAGACTCTGACAGCTAGGGGCTGTTTTAGAGACATGCTGGGGGGTCCGGGGAGCCTCAGGAGCCAAGCAGCCCCTGCCCTGCCCAGCCCAGCTCACCTCCTTGAGCGCGTTGAAGGCCTTAGTGGCCATGTCTTCGTCTTCAGAGCCCTGTGCTGTCCGCTTCAGGATGTTCTGGAAGGTGGGATCAGCACGCTGTGGCAGGCCTCATGCTCCCCCCAGCGCCGGCCCACCCGCGGGTGCCTCCCCCTCGCCCAGCCTGTACCCTTGAGGTACCTCCACCAACATCTTGAGGCGAGTGATCCTCTGGAAGGGCAGGATGAGGAAGGAGGTAAGGGGCAGACGCTGGCACACGGGGGACTCCTCCAGGCGAGCCAGGATGCCAGGGAACCTGGGGTTCTCCAGGCTGGAAAACAGGAAGGGCTCTGGAATCACAGGTGGGCCTGAACTCCTGGGATTCACGACCCTGGCCATCCACGGGGTCCTCAGGTGCCTTCTCAGCACATCCTTACTGCCCCTTGGGGTCACTTACCTTATCCTGGCCACAGAGACACTTTCAGGGATCCCTCCCCACCCAGAGTCACCTTGCATCACCCAGTCCTCAATGCCTGCACCTGCCTGAGACTCCCTCCACGCCCCCGCCCCTTTCAGAGCCCCCAGCCCTACAGCAGGCGCTGGTAGGTGCGCTCCTGGTAGGCCTGGTTGGTGACATAGGGCAGGTAGACTCGGCGGAAGGCCGGGCAGTGCTGCAACACCACGTCGCACACGCTGAAGCGCAGCACATCTGCCTCCAGCCGCTGCTCCAGGTCCTGCAGGAACCTGAAGGGTCAGAGCCAGGATGGAGACCCCAGATCTGGGAGCTGGCCAACCACAGGCTCAGTCTCCACCCGGGGCCAGCCAGACTACTTCCTCACCTCTCGCTGGTGCTCTTGACCTCGGGCAGTTTAGAAAACAGCCACTGCTTGTCCTGTGCCCCCAGACACTCGCTCAGCTCGGCAGAGCCCAGGAAGTGACCCACAGCCACCGAGAGGCTGTGGATGTAGGAGGCCTCGGACGTGATCAGCTCAAACTTGGCCTGAGGAAGGGCGCACACGGGGTCGAAAGGGCCGGGCCAGTTCACCTCAGAGGCGCTGGCCTCGCACCCCCCGCCCCAGGACGCCACCTCTTTAGACACAGCCACACCTCGCGTCCTCGCCCCTGCTTTAGTCCCACTCCTAATCTGGCGCCGGGCGGGCCAGACGACCAGCCTCCCGCCGCGGGCAATTGTGCAAGCCCCGCTCCAGCCCTCGAACCCGCCCCTCCTCTTAGCCCCGCCCCGACGCGCTCCGCCCCCGAGCCCCGCCCACCCCAGGCCCCGCCCCGGCCCCGGCCCCGCCTCTTCCCGGGCCCACCAGGCGTTTGCGCTCCGAATGGCTCCGCCCCTCATCCGGCCCTGCCCTATCCTAGGCTTCGTCCCGCTGGCTCCGCCCCCTACCCGCCGCAGGGCCTAGCTCCCCGAGCTCCCGGCTCCGCCTCGCTTCCAGATGGCCTAGGGTAGTCAGGTCCTAGCGCCTGCCCTCCACGCGGACAGTCGCGCCAGCACCTCCTTTCTGTGTCCCCCTCCTTCTAACGCCCGGGTTCCCGCGAAGTCCCCGGCCCGCGTACTCCCGGCCCGCCCCGCCCCGTCGGGCCCCCTCGTGCGCCCACCTCCTGCAGCTTGCAGTCCCGCAGGCTCAGCGTGGCCAGGACGCCGCTGCCGCGCACGTCGGGGATGTCTTGCCACAGCGAGAAGGTGGAGCCTCGCGCCGAGCGCTGCGCCCGGAAGGAGCTGCTAGGGGAGAGGTTGGCGCGCGGCGGCCCCGGCCCCTCCTCCGAGCCCTCGGCCTCGTCCCCCGGGCCCTCCTCCTCCCGCTGCTGCCGCCGCAGTTCGCGGGCGCTGGCCACGTCGCTGTATTCCTGATAGAGGACGGCTGGGGGGAAGACGGGCGGGCGAGGACCGTGGGGCGCCCGCCAGCCCCTGCCCGGCCCCTCCCCGGCTGCCCCAAGACCCGAAGTCACTTAACCTTTGCCGCCCTTCGGATATCCGGACACAGTGAATTCATTCATTCATTCATTCATCCATTCATTATATAAACAAATTGAGCACCTACTGCGTGCTAGATACCGAGAGTTCCATTCTCCGTTTCTCACTCGATCTCTACCTCTCAACTCTCCAAACCCCGTTACCTCCTCCCTGGGACCCCCTCCCACGTACAGTTAACACGTACAATTAAGGAGGAATCGAGACTGGCGCCGCTCGTTGGTGCTCCTGGACCCCAAAGGCAGCTCTTCCTGCATGTCTAGCCTACGAAAGAGAGAGCGTCACGGCCCTTCGCCTGCACCCTGTCTCGGACCCAAGACCCAAGAGGGAGATGGTACCTGGGCTCGTGCCAACGACCATGGCCCTCTCTTGAGTCACCAGGGGCTAGCCGTGACACTCCGTCCCCACTCGTCTCTACACTTCGCCCCTCCATTCCAGATGCTTTCCCTGGAGAGGGCGAGAACTGAGGGTGAGGAGTCCAGAGACTGGCCCTGGTCCCCGGCCCTGGCACCCTGACAGCCTCAGGCGGCCGGTGAGTGGGTATCCCCCACCCCTACCCGGCATCTGGCTGCTCTCAGGGCCCATGGGAGGAGCTGGTACCTTCCCGGACTGCTCCAGTGCCTGAGCCGGAGATGGGTGCCCTGGCTGCTGAATTCCGCCCCAGGCGCAGAGAAGAGTGCAGCCGGGTCATCAGCTCGGAGGCTGAGAATCGCCTCCGCTCAGGACCCTCGAGGCTCACTCGGGTGGATCCAGGCAGTTCCAGCGATCTGGGCTCCTCTGTGCTCAGGGCCTGCTCTTGCACTGCCTGACCAGGCTCCAGGAAGACAGGGTGGGCCTCAGGGCAGCTGGGGACCTCTTCACGCTGGTACACCCGCATCTTGCGCCCTAAGGTTGGGGGGCAGGGTGTGAGAGCATGGTCTGGGGTCTCCCCCAACCTCCTCCCTGCTGCTGCCCTGGCCCTGAGCACCTGGGGAGGTTCAGGCGCCATGTCCAAGGAAAAGGGCCTGTGTTTCTGCTAGCATCTGGTTCCCATGGGGATCCACAAGAGGGGTAAGGAGATCACGGGGCCTGACTGCAGCAGGCAGAGGGGCCAGGATGCCCAGGATGGTGACTCCTTCACTGCATAACCTTGGACAAGTTGCTTGCCTTCCCGGAGCCCCGATAGTCTCCTTATCACTAAAATCTACCACTTGTCCTAACTTTTGGGGGAACCTTGGGACATAAAGATTAAGGAGCTGCCCAGCCCCTCCCTTATCCACCCCACTGTGGCACCCACACCCGCCTCCCCCACGGTGACTCACAGGCAGACTTCTTCTCCGAGCCATGGCTGGCCCGGCGCTGTGGCTGTGGGTGCTGGGGACCCCAGGGTCCCTCCAGAGCTGGGGGCTGGGCACCAGGACAGTGTGGCCAGCTGCCAGCCCTGCTGGGCCTCATCGCCCCACTGGAGATCTCTGTATCTGAGCCTCCTGGGGATGATGGCCATAGCAACCCTTGGAGAGGGGCAGGGGTCCCCAGGGACCAGCGGCTGCCTGGAACCCGAAGCTCCTCTGGGGCCACAGGGAAAAGGTCCAGACACACTGGGCTCAGGGGCTTCAGGGCAGGCAGCTCTGTAAAGGACAGACTCTCCTGCTGGCACACAGCTACAGGGCGGCGGGCAGTGCCAGGTGGCCCAGTCAGGTGGGGCTGGAGGGTAGCAGGTGGCCCACAGTCCATTCCTCCTTTGCTCTGCCACCCACCTGGGCCTGCAGAAGAGAAGATATCAGACCCAGACAGAGGATACTGGGGCTGGCCAGTCAGCCACTCCCCTGGAGTCCTGGACAAACCCCTGTGTACACTTGTGGGCACGCATCTGCACAAATACACTCACACGTCTAATTATACAGGAATAGCTGATACTTGCTTGGCATTGCCTGAATGATAGGCCAAGCACTTTACACATCGTATCTCATTTAGTCCTCAAAACAACCCTGTGAGTTGATGCTCTTATTATCCCCATTTTATAGGTGGGGAAAGTGAGGCACAGAGAGGTTATTTGGTAAATGGTGGAGCCAGGATTCTAACCCAGCCATTCCAGCTTTCAAATCAGTGTCTTTACCCACCTTGTACCTTCTCCAACACACACTGACATGTCACCAGATATGTAAATACATACATTGTCACACAAATCCATGTCCCAGTATGTACATCCACACTGCATTTTCTCCCAAGTATAGAATGACACGTACATGTTGATAGACACAGACATTTCAAACTCAGGCTCACACATTCACAGACACACACTTTTTTACACGGCCGCATACATTCACACAGACACTTCCTCACAAACACGCCGACCCGGCCGATATTTACAGAGGCACCCACGATTTCTCAACCTCCTCTTCCCTTCACACGCACACCCCAGGATGCACACACACCAGCCCACAGGTCCTTGCTTTGATGTTTCTCCCCCCCTACCCCGACCCTTACCCAGAGTTGTGGCCTTCGGCACTGAGCGGTGCCCACACCCATGCCAAGCTGGCTGGGAGGGTTACGGACTGGCAGGCAGGCCACCACCCAGTCTGGGGCTCTCCCGGAGAAGTTCAGGGAGATGCCCCAGCCCCCAGGATTGGAGTGAAAGAGGGGTTATTCCTCACCCCAGCTTCCAGCCCTGGGTGGCCAGGCTGGATGGGTCCTTTCTGGGCGGGATGTTATCCCTGGGAGGTAGCTTTGCGATCAGGACAGGGCTGATGATCTGAGAGGCCCAAGTCCCGACAACCTTTGCCCTGTGGCCCTCTGCCAGCCTCCCTCCTGCAGCCCCTCACCTCTCCAGGCCCAGGCCCGCTTGCTGATGCTGCTTGGCTGCTCCGGCAGGGGAAGCCCTCTCTCTGCCCAGCCGGCTGGGGGAGATCCCACCCAGACAAAGAGTTTGATTCATCAAACCCTGTGGTGAGGCAAGCAGGGAGAGAGGGAGGGAGCAGGCAGCGGGCTGGGCGGGGGCCTACCCTAGCGTGGCCTCGCTGTGGGCAGGCCAGGCAGCCAGGACCCCCCAGAGGCCCCCTCAGGCCACAGGGGCAGTGCCCAGCCTGACAGGACCAAGAAAGCCGGGAGATGAAGACCGAGAGAGACCTAGAGAAACAGAGACCGGTCAGCCAGCAACCCAGAAACCAAGACCCCAAAACACTCGAAAACAGAAAAACCACAGATGCTGAGACATTCAGGGATCCAGAGATGGAGACAGAGACGTTGACACTTTCAGACCAACCAGATCCTCAGAGACACAGATGAAGCCCAGAAAAACCCAGGGAGACGGACAAACATGTCATGCCCGTGGGCTGCCAGTCTAGTGGAAGAGCCGAAAACGAAAACAGTTACAATCCAGGTTGGCAAGAGCCAAGCCGGAGGAACTATCGGAGGAGGGTGCTGGGCTCAATTCAACCTGGGTATTCCAGGAAGACTTCCTGGAGGAGGTCATAGGTAACTGCTCCATGGCTGAAATACCTAGTGCACTTACAGAGAAAGCCTTGGCCTGAGCGGTGATTGTGTCAGTCGCTGCTGGAGGGAGGGAGGGAGAAGAGGACCCAGCGAGAGATGGCTCGGTCTGTGGCAGGCCCCAGTCTCTCTGCACAGCTTCTCAACTGCTTCTCCCTGCTCCCTTCACTGCCACCGCCTGGGTGGGTGGGAAGAAGGGGACAGCTGCTCCAAAGGGGCCCGCTCTACAGCGGCCACTCAGGCTTGTACCGTCAGCCTCTGTCCCTCTAGCCTGAAGAGTGCCCATTTGAGCAAGTCTCCCTAAACCTCAGTTTCCTCATCCGGCAAATAGGGTAGTATTTGTATCCGTCTTTCTCTAGACAGAAGGCGGCTCAGTCCTTTACGCCGATGGGGAAGAGGAAGGAGCGAGGCTGAGACAGACATGACGTTGCAGGAGTGTGCGGAAGGAGGCCCCTGCCCGCAGACAGGTCTCTTTCTCTGCAGGAATCAGGAGTCCTCGACACACACGTCCTGCATATGTGGGGGCACACATATGCAGCATGTACACATGCCCCCTACCCCCACGTATTTTGGGAGATTCTTGCATTTGGGTTCTGGAAGTCCCTGGAGGGCAGGGAGGGACCTTTCTGCCCATCCTTTGCAGAGGTAAGTCAGCAAAATATTGAGGCTTTGCAGCAGGAGCACCCCCAGTTCAGGCCTCTGAGGAGAAGGCTAGGTGATTGTGGGGACAGGGGACGTAGAAGGCTTCCCAGGGAGATGAAGCTGGAGGCAGGTCCCCAGCAGGGAAGTCAGGAGTGTGTCAGCCTCCACCTGCGCTCAGGCCAAGGGGAATGAGAATGACCCATCTAGCTGCGATGCCAGCCCTGTGGCCCTCCAGGGATCTGGCCCACCCAACCTCAATGTTGGAGAGCTAAGAGAGATAAGCTGGGTTGGAGAGAGAAGCTGGGTTCATATTATGTGTAGCTCATCTCTGTTAGAAAAAGCAAACAAAAACCTCAGAAAGAGAACTGGCCCCAGACAGCGGGGACATGACCTTCCCAGGCATGATCTCTGGATAGAGACTCTAGTATCTACTAGGCACGGGCCATTGTGGAGCCCGAAGAGAATAACCCTCACCCAAGCTCCTAGGCTCAGTGTTGACACTGACCAGCTGTGTGGCCTTAGGCAAGTCATAGCCCAACCCTTGGCCTCAGTATTCCCATCTGTAAAGTGGCTCTTAAGGGACCCCACCACCACCCGATGCCCTCTCTAAGAAACGTGTCTCACCATAAAGGTCTCTGGGCCAAGAAGGATGGGCAGGGGCCAAGGAGCATACCCTTGGCGGGCGCTGCTAATTACAGGGGACGATGGGCTCACTTAGCAAGGCTACCAGAGAGAGTCCCTGAACACCACCATGGTCAGGGAAAGCGTTTCTGGCCTCCTATGCCTGGCTTTTCCCTGCCCCCCCCCCCCAGGTGCCTCTTGACCTGCTGCCCAGAAGAGTGGGGACCCTCCCAGGGCCTCTCTGCCCTTGAAGGAATAAAGCCAAGGGGGAGGTCATGGCTGGAAAGGGGATCCAGACAAGGTTTACAGAGCCCCAGAAGGCCATAGTGGGTCAGGGCCAGGATCAGAGACCAGGCAGGCAGCACAAAGGGATCACTCAGGGGGGAAAACTGGCGGGAAGAGAACGGGATGGCTGGCACCCAGGTGGGGCCCTACCTCAGCCAGGGAGCTCCGTCCAGCTGCCAGCACAGTCCAGGGCTCCAGGGCACCCTGGGGACTCTGGGGTTGCAGCCAAGTCCTCAGGGGGCAATGTCAGCATGTCAGCATGGCCCCAGAGCCCAGCAAGGCAAGCTCCTGGGTATTGTGTGGGGCGGGGAGGGGGAGGTGAAGGAGGAGGGAACCGTGCGGAGAGGCAGCGGCTGTCTCAACGTGCCTGCTCCCCGCCCCCCTTCCCCAGAACCGGTTTGGCTAGTCTGGGGTACGAGAGGGGGGCTGGAACAATGGGAGTCCTATGCCCAGGTGAGGCTCTAAAGGACCCTAGACCCAGGTCCTAAAGATGGGGGAGGCACTGCTTCTGCTCCTAGGAGACAGGTCACCACTCTTCCAGAGCTTCCCAAACATGAGCGTGCTCAGGGGACTTCCTGGAGCTGGGTGGGGGGGCATCCCAGGAGCTTCACAGAGAGCCTCCCAAGCCCTGGACTCCTTAGAGACCCTGAGAACCCCGATGACCCTTTCTGATCCTATTATTGCATCTATCAAATGGGAACATTCATCCCTATGGTAAGGAGACAGAAATTAACCCTGAAAGTTGGTGATGTGACATCTGGCATCCTGGATGGCCTCTCTCATCCAACACAGCCACTCCTTGCAAATGATCCATCCTTTCCCACTGCCTGGAATGACCTGCCTCACCATCTCCAGTGGCCGCCTCCACCATGAAGCCTTCCCAGACTACACCGGTTGAGCCCTCAATAAATAAAGTCAAACAGCCAAGTCAAACCACTTGGAATAAGAATGGCCTGCTCTATGGCTGGCATGCAATCTTCCCAAGCCTGTGGAAGGGGAAGTGCAGCTTCCTAATACTACCTGCCATCAGTTTGAGCTCCCAGTATTGCCAGGCACTTAATATTAATGTGCAGATGCGTAAACATACTCATACTCATGGACCTAACTTATTGGTCACCTCCTATGTGCCAGGCACTGTCCTGATCCCTTCACATGTATTTATTCATTTAATCTCTACCATAACCCTGTCAAGTAGATATTTATCAGATGAGTTCAGTTGTCCTTTGGTACCCCACAACCTGTGGGGAATTGGTTCTAGAACCCCCCATACCAAAATCCATGGCTGCCCAAGTTCCTTATATAAAGTGTCATAGTGTTTGCTATAACTATGTACATCCTCCAGCAAATTTTATTTATTTATTTTTGAGATGGAGTCTCACTCTGCCACCCAGAGTGAGTGGCGCTAACCATAACCTTTGCCTTCCAAGTTCAAGCAATTCTGCCTCAGCCTTCCCAGTAGCTGGGATTACGGGTGCACGCCACCACACCCTACTAATATTTGGATTTTTAGTAGAGACAGGGTTTTACCATGTTGACCAGGCTGGTCTCAAACTACTGACCTTTAGTGATCCACCCACCCCAACCTCCCTAAGTGCTGGGATTACAGATGTGAGCCACCTTGCCCAGCCTATTTTATTTATTCTCAAAAAATAAAATAAAATGTACTCAAGTGACAGGATCTCACTCTGTCATCCAGGCTGGAGTGCAGCGGTACAATCACAGGGCTCACTTGCATTCTCGACCTCCTGGGCTCAGGTGATTCTCCCACCTCAGCCTCAAGAGGGACCACTGGCATATACCACCACACCTGACTTTTGTATTTTTTGTAGAGAAGGGATCTCACCAGGTTGCCCATCCTGGTCTCAAACTTCTGGGGACAAGCGATTCACCCCCCTTGGCCTCCTAAAGTGCTAGGATTATAGACATGAGCCACCACGCCCAGCCCTTCAGTACAGTTTAAATCATTTCTAGATTACTTATAACACCTTAATATACCTTAATACAGTGTAAATTCTATGTAAATAGTTATCCTGTAATGTTTTTATTTGCATTATTTTTTATTGTGTTATTTTTAATTTTCATTTTCTTTCTTTCTTTTTTTTTTTTTTGAGACGGAGTTTCGCTCTCGTTACCCAGGCTGGAGTGCAATGGCGCAATCTCGGCTCACCGCAACCTCCGCCTCCTGGGCTCAGGCAATTCTCCTGCCTCAGCCTCCTAAGTAGCTGGGATTACAGGCACGTGCCACCATGCCCAGCTAGTTTTTTTTTTTTTGTATTTTTAGTAGAGACGGGGTTTCACTATGTTGACCAGGATGGTCTCCATCTCTCGACCTTGTGATCCACCCGCCTCGGCCTCCCAAAGTGCTAGGATTACAGGCTGAGCCACCGCGCCCGGCCTCTTTTTTTTTTTTTTTTTTTTTGAGACGGAGTTTCGCTCTTGTTACCCAGGCTGGAGTGCAATGGCGCGATCTCGGCTCACCGCAACCTCCGCCTCCTGGGTTCCGGCAATTCTCCTGCCTCAGCCTCCTGAGTAGCTGGGATTACAGGCACGTGCCACCATGCCCAGCTAATTTTTTGTATTTTTAGTAGAGACAGGGTTTCACCATGTTGACCAGGATGGTCTCGATCTCTCGACCTCGTGATCCACCGGCCTTGGCCTCCCAAAGTGCTGGGATTACAGGCGTGAGCCACCGCGCCCGGCCTCTTTCTTTTTTTTAAGATGCAATACTCTGTCACCCAGACTGGGGTGCAGGAGCATGATCTCGGGTCACTGCAACCTCCACCTCCCAGGTTCAAGCGCTTCTCCTGCCTCAGCCTCCTGAGTAGCTAGGACTGCAGGTGCCCACCACCACACCAGGCTAATTTTTGTATTTTTTTTTTTTTTTTTTTTTTTTTTGAGACGGAGTTTCGCTCTTGTTACCCAGGCTGGAGTGCAATGGCGCGATCTTGGCTCACTGCAACCTCCGCCTCCTGGGTTCAGGCAATTCTCCTGCCTCAGCCTCCTGAGTAGCTGGGATTACAGACACGTACCACCATGCCCAGCTAATTTTTTGTATTTTTAGTAGAGACGGGGTTTCACCATGTTGACCAGGATGGTCTCGATCTCTCGACCTCGTGATCCACCCGCCTCGGCCTCCCAAAGTGCTGGGATTACAGGCTTGAGCCACCGTGCCCGGCCTAATTTTTGTATTTTTAGTAGAGATGGGATTTTACCATGTTGGTCAGTCTAGTCTTGAACTCCTGACCCTATGATCCACCCGCCTCAGCCTCCCAAAGTGCTGGGATTACAGGTGTGAGCTACTGCGCTCGGCTTATTCCCATTTTCTATGCATGGTTGGTTGAACCGAAGGATGCAGAACCCGAGGATATGGGGGCCACCTGTTTAAGAGGTTTGTACAAAAGTTAAGTCACAAGCATTATCCCTTTGAAATCTCTCATCAGTTCTATGAAGTCCCATTTTACAGATGATATAGAGGTTCAAGGGATTAAATAACTTGCCCAGGGCCACACAGCTAATAAGGGGCAGGACTAGTATTGAAATCCAGGTCTGGCCGGACATGGTGGCTCACTCCTGTAATCGCAGCACTATGGGAGGCTGAAGTGGGTGGATCACCTGAAGTCAGGAGTCTGAGACCAGCCTGGCCAACATTGTGAAACCTGTCTCTACTAAAAATACAAAAATAGGCCAGGCACGGTGGCTCACACCTGTAATCCCAGCATTTTGGGAGGCCGAGGACATCAGATCACAAGTTTGAGGTCAGGAGTTTGAGACCAGCCTGGCCAACATGGTGAAACCATTTTTAGTCTCTACTAAAAATACAAAAATTAGCTGGGTGTGGTTGTGTGCACCTGTAATCCCAGCTACTCGAAGACTGAGCCAGGAGAATTGCTTCAACCCTGGAGGTGGAGATTGCAATGAGCCAAGATGGTGCCACTGTACTCCACCCTGGGACAAAGCGAGATTTCATCTCCAAAAAAAAAAAAATTAGCTGTACATGGTGGCATGCACCTGTAATCCCAGCTACTGGGGAGACTGAGGTAAGAGAATCGCTTGAACCTGAGAGATAGGGAGGCAGAGGTTGCAGTGAGCTGCGATCGTGTGTTGTACTCCAGCCTGCGAGACAGAGCGAGACTCCGTCTAAAAAGAAAGAAAGAAAAGAAAAGAAGCCCAGGTCTATCTGACATCACCACCCACCTGAATCCTTCACCACTGCCTGGTACTGCCTCATCAGGCTTTTAGGAGGGTCTCATGGTGAAAAGTGTGTGAAAGTCTACTGGGGGCGTGTCTCGGCTGACCTAACTAAACTCTTACTGTTATTCATACACTTTAGGCTTGGAAAGCATACACAGCAGCACAGCAGGGGTTTCATGGTCGGTAAGACGGAGTTTCACTTTTGCTGTCCAGGCTGGAGTGCAATGGCGTGATCTCGGCTCACAGCAACCTCCGCCTCCCGGGTTCAAGCAATTCTGCCTTAGCCTCCCAAGTAGCTGGGATTACAGGCATGCGCCACCAAGCCTGGCTAGTTTTGTATATTTAGTAGAGAAGGGGTTTCTCCATGTTGGTCAGGCTGGTCTCGAACTCCTGACCTCAGTTGATCCACCCGCCTTGGCCTCCCAAAGGGCTGGTATTACAGGCGTGAGCCACCGCGCCCGGCCCCAAAGTATTTTCCTTAGCTGCCAACCGATGGCCATTAAATTCAGATTGATTAGAGTCCCTGTGCTCCCCCATGTTCACTTCGGCTCCCTACAGTATCGCCACATAGTAAGGAGACACTGCACCGTGTGGGTGGGGACCAGGTGGTCGTGGAGAGGTGGTAGGCTCTGGGGCAGAAAACAGGTTTATTGTCAGCTTCGCACAGAGGCCAGGAGACAAGGAACACGGAAGCGGAGCAATGCAGGACAGGAGGTCTCCAGGGAACTCCAATTCTCTCATCCCAGCTCCCAGGCCGGCCTTGGGACACTGCACAGATGCGTAGCTGGAAGCCAGAGGACCCCAATAGGAGGAGAATCCTGGGGAACCTAGGGCCCTGTCCTGGAAGGGCAACCCTACCTCACTCGCCCAAGTCCTGGACTTCGGAGACAGCGCTCCTGCTGCAGGGAACAGCTTGGTCAGGCTGAGAAGGCTGGCGCTCTAGAGCAGAGACCCCCAACCCTAGCGTGCGGATATAGTAAAAAAGGGAGCGTTGCGGGGCCTAATGATGGGCGGGAACAGGCGGAAACTACAGGATTTCAGCCAATCCCACCAATGAGCGAGGCCAAATAAGGGGGCGGGGCTAGAGAGGACAGAGCTATGGCCTGAGGACGGGCCAAGGGGCGTGGTCATTACGGTGCAGGTGGGGCCGGGGTACGCTGGGGTCCGCCTGCCTTGCTGACCGAAAGCAGCGCCTCCGGGTAATCCGCCAGTTGTTGCCTACTTGGCCAGGTAGCGCTAGCGCTTTATCTGGTACTTTGGGCACGAGCCGGGCGATGGGGTGCAGAGAGAACACTACACGCTGGGGAGAAGGGGCCAAAAAGAATGATTGCCTTAGCGATCTTAACTTAGGGAGCGCTTACCCCGCGCCAAACCCTAATCTGAGGGTTTTCCGGATATTAATTTATTTAATTTGCACAACTCTATGAGCCGGGAGTAATTTCTACTCTACAAGTGAAGAAACAGAAGCAGAAAGGAGTTGTCCTTTGCCCAAAGACACAGAGGTATGATTTGAACCCCTTAACACTAGGAACCCCGTTAGGGGGAGGGCTTGTAAAAGAGCAAAACTGGTGGGAGACTGCTTCCTCTCTTTTCTTCAGATCTCTTGCCAAGAGATAAAGTTATTATTATTTGTAATATTAATTCATCGAGCACCTACAACGTGCCAGGCACTGTGCAAATGCTTGACACCGAACCTTCATAACGACCCTATGAATTAGATCATATTATGTAACATATCCCCATTTCCAGCTGGTCGGCGGCAGAACCTGAACTTGCAACCAAGTCTGTCCAAGACCGATGGCTGAGCCTACCTCGAAGGCGATAATTAAGCCCAGATGCACGGCCAGCAGCTTCCAGTAGAAGAGGGCAAGGTTCACCCGCGCGTCGCGAAAGGCCTTGTATCTAGGTTGCGGGATCCGGAAAGGCTCTCGGATCTCGACTCCGAACCCTGCACTTCCTCCCCTCCTCCCCCCTAGAATCTGGCCCTGTCAGTTCAGCCCGTATCCTAGCCGGCTCCGCGCATCTGTCTGGGACAGACTCAGCTCACTGCACCCCAAGCTGGCCCCGCCCCACCCGTCCACAGTTTCGGCTCCGGACTTCCCAGGCAGGCCCCGCCCCTACCTCCTCAGCACCCGCCCTTCCCAGACAGGCCCCGCCTACCAAAGCTCAGTACCCGCCCCTCCCAGGCCGCGCTCTCACAGGCTCAGCGCCCTGCT